AGCAGCAGCAGCGGCAGCAGGAGCAGCAGAAGCAACAGGAGCAGCAGGAGCGGCAGGAGCAGCAGCAGGACCACAGCAATTCCACCACGGCTGCCACTGCCGCTGCCACTACCACCACCATCACCAGCAATACCGCCGACTGCGACTATCACAATTACAAGATCTCGATACTTGATAATTCAGCAGTATACAACAACTTGACAGGTGCTTTCTATTAGGACGTAAGGCAAGTTCCTCAACTGTAGCGTGTTGATCACAATTTTCGGACTTGTGGGTTAGGAGCTCTGGATTTGCTTGCCAGGGTATCACATTATTGCGCTTATGGTAGCAGACCGTCAAGTACTGGTCACGGCAACCAGGCACCGAGTTTCAATGGTGGCTGGCAGCCGGTCGCCCCTTTTGGACGCTTTCGGCTCGTCTGGGACATAAGCAGCCGCCAAAATGCGGTTCATGTTGTTTTTGTTCTGTTACATTGGATTTTGAAGCTTTTTTCGGGTGGGTTTTGGTTTTGAGTTTGGTGGGGTTTCGGATTTTGAGATTTTTCTTCGTCCCTGCTTTTTGCTTTGGAGGTTGGGGTCGTATTTGTTCGTCTTCTTTTTGTATATGTATTTGCTCGCACATTGACGTAGTCTTCATCTTCGTCATCACCATGACCATCACCGTCATACCACCACCCACCATCACCTCACCCTCGCCCTCGCTATCACCATCGTCATCATCATCCCCGCTTCTCATGGCCACCCTCTTGATTCTGACAGCTGGGCGTAATCCTGTCGCTGTAAGCGAAGACAGGAAGGTTTCGTCTTTATCGCGATTGTTGCTACGGTGGGTGTCAATGGCATCCGTCGCGTTGTACCACTTGAGGCTTCGTGATGATGAAGGAAGTATAGAAGTGGAAGTCGTAGGAACCCTAAACCCTAAGGCAAACTCTCAACCCTAACCTAAAAGGTTTTTTCTCAAGGCTTGTGAAAGCCACCGGCCTCCTTGGACCTTGGAGCTCTGACGCTGAATTTTTCACCCTTCTTCCGCCTCCGCCGAGGCATTTTTTGCCTTACCTTGGACTTGATACTGCTGCCGCTGCATGCGTTTACGCAGTGGAGAGCAGGGGCAAGCTTGCTGCCCGACTGATCTTGGGGCCCAGGCTTCTTATTCGGGTTTGGGTGTTTAGGGGTTTAAAGCGCTTTCAGGAGTAAGGTTTTTTAATCAGAGAGGTTTCGGGTCTTCACCGCTTGGGCTTCTTGTTTGAAGGTACCCTACAGGGCAAAAGTCTGGGGAGGGCCAGATACCCAGAAAGCTTCAGAGGCTTTGCCTAAAATCTACCCATAGGCTCCAAAGGAGTTCCTTTTCGGGATTACCTTATAGGATCCTAAATGTAAACCACAAAAAGGAACTATAATGGAGCCTCTGGGTAAGCCACGAACCTGGAGTCCGAATTCCAAGCCGTCAGCGAGCCTGGATGCTGGATGTCCGTTCAGTAGGGGGATGTTGGCTTCAATCCTTTATGCTGTTTCTTACGCTGTTCCTTATCGAAGTCTTTCGAAAGACGTCGTTGTCGTCGTCGCAGTGGCAGGTCACTAGCCTTTTCAGTTCTTGCATTCTGCCATTTTCGAGTCATCCTGAAAAACCTGGAGAAAGCTTTAGGGTTTAGGGTTTAGGGTGGGTCATCAGACTGGAGGGCGGTCTTTGAGCTGCTGCTGAACCTCTTCTGGGCCGCAGACATTGCTGCCGCTCTGCTGCTGTCGGGACATGCATGGGCCGTAGTGTAATCATGGTGCCGCTAGGCTAGTGGTAGTTGTCGGCACAGACGACTGAGAAAGGTAATGTCGAAGTAACAGTTTGAAGCACTTGATGAAGCTAGCAAGGAAGCCACTGCTCAGACGGTTGTTTTAATGTTGACTGTACCGTAATCTCGTTGGGACACTGCCCCCTTCGCGACTTTTGCATCTGTTCTGAAGAAAGGCGAAGTGCAAGTCAGACAAACTTCGGTTATGCACAAGACTGACCTCTCGTCCATGTCCTTGTCGTCTGAGTCGTGCCGTTGTCCTCGTCCTCGTCCTCGAGAAGTAGCACTAGGAGCAGCGGTGCCAGCGTTTGACGACACTGTGGCCGTCACTGCTGCAGGTTGCGATAGTAGTAGTTGTGGAAACAATCGTGCCAGCAACGATACTGGCAGCAACAGCAACAGCAGAAGCAACCAGTCACATCAGGTAGTAGCAGAAGCTTAGAAGTAGTTCTCAATTTCCTCTCGCTGGTTGCAGTGTGGTACTGATGGTGCTGGTTCGATTATGTTCGGTTGAAGTGGTATAGCAGTGGTTAATGATTAACTGCTAAGGATTTATGAGCTATCTTGGTAGCTAGCCAACTAGCCAGTCAGCTGCCAGCTAGCTTGCTAGCTAACTTGTCTGTTTGCTTGTTTGCAAAACCAGCAACGAAGTAGCTCATGAAGGTAGGAGCTGAGCTTACGAACGACATGATGAAGACTAAAAATCAAGTGGCTGAGTAGCGGACGAAGGGAGCTCAGTGGCCAATCGGCCAGCTGCTACCACAGCCGGTCCTGGAATGGCGAGTGAAACAGGAACGACGACTGATCACAGTCAGAAGACCGCTACCAAGGACCAGCATGAGACAACTGGCGAAGTACGCAACTGTAATTGTCTAGTGACCGGGAGTAG